TCTCCCAGGTTTCCAAACAGTGAACTACAACCGGGCCCTCCATTCAGCCATAGGACTACCGGTGCGTTCTCGGGATCCTTTTGACTCTCAACGAACCAATAGAAGTAATGTTTGCCTTCAGTTATATTCAAATAACCGGAATATTGCTTAAAATTAATAGCTTGTGGGAGTCCGGGTAAGTCTTTGATTTCATCATCATTTGCTGCAAATACTAAACATAAGTTTAGTATAAATAATGCAAAAATCATAAACCCTTTGATTGAAATCATTGTATAATTGAATAACTGAAATGAATGATCTGACTTGAAATATATATCTGAATTCAATGTCATTTGTCATAAATGCAGATTCAAATGATGATTGTATTTCCACTTCACTCCAATCATTAGATATAAAAGCTCTCACAAATCAATGCATTAATTTCTAAATCACATTGAAATCCACTTTTAATGTGTATTAGTTATTAATAATTAATCGCTTTGAGAGTCTGGGGGTAATTAATTTCTTAGAAGTTTCTAAATACCGTACCCTTTTCTATTTATTGTACCTAGATAATATTGTATATATTACTTTGTACAATATGTAAGTGCACACTTTTAAATGAATAATTCTATTCAATTTTATCAATATATTTTAAACTAACAAAATTATTAGTTTAAATATAATTTTATTTTCTAAACATATACATTTTTTAATTAACATTAATTTTAGGTTTAATAAATTTTTATTGTTTTTTATTTTATCTTAATGTATTTTTTAATAACATTTAAAACTGTGTGATTCCGACCACATTCTTGAGTAACTGTAGGGCAGCCTCTGGTTTGTCGTGAGGGACCATATGTCCGGCCCCGCGGACTAACACGAAACTCAGGTTTTTCTCGTAGTGCTGGACAAACCCACCAATAAACCCATCAGGTGTTTTCCATTCACTACAATTATTTATAATTTAGATTTTTATTTTTACAACAAACTTATTACAGTTATCATACCTATAGTGACCATCTTTTTTAAATGCGAGACTATCAACAAATCTATTATTATCAATATGATCACACATTGTGTCGAAGTTTCCATTAAATATGACAAGTTTTCCGATATTATACTTATTAATCAAATCCATAATAATAGGTCTTTGGTCTGTAGACACGCCCGCATAGGATCCGCCGCAATCAGACCAGTGTTGGGTGTCTTCAGGGCGTACGTGCAGTGCTTTACGTACTTCTGGTATGTTTAGGTAATCCGCATAACCCTCGTGCGGACAATTGATATTTGGTCTTTCATTGACTGGCAATCTGTTGGTAGCCTTTGCGTAATATTTGTTGAAAAGTCGCAAATAAGCGGAATTAGCGCCACAATCATCGTAAACATTGTATGGATTGGGTGTTCCTGACATTTCCACTTCTGTTGCCTCACATTTACTAATAAAATATCATTGAAACAAAAATTTAAAGTTAAGTAAGTTATGTGGAAATATTAAAGAATCTAATAGTCTATATAAATAAGGAGTATGGCAACTCCCAAATTGTTTTATGTTACGGTAATATAGAATTACTTTACAACATATTCTCCTTAGTTTTAAGGGTAACAGAATTTATATATAAAATTATTTATATACAGTATCATAAAAATTAAGTTTGAATTTAGCTGGCTAAACTAATAGTAAGTTAATAGTCACTTACGTCCTATTCGCTGGTTTATTGAAATCGCATTCATGTAGGACTTCGCCTGATTTACATTCACAACAATTCTCAATGAGTTGCTCATAGGATCCAGTTGTAATGAATCCATGGCCTAAACTAAAGTCATAGCCAGACATACGAATTAATGGGGCATCCCCTAGAACTCCATTACCAATTGCAACACCTAGTTATATAATTTAATATTATATTAAAATAAACAACAAATAACTTCTTTAAATAATACCTTTTAAATTGATTGTAGATTTAGTGCTGAATATTTCATGGGCTAACATTGGGATATAAATTCCGGCATAACTTTCACCCGTTATATAAAATGGGTTTTTCTTCAGATTTGGAAACTTTTCAAAAAACGCTTCGAGAGCTAAATGGTTGTCCTCTGCGGTAGACTTATCTGTGTTGTGATACTTCTTATCGTCTTTATAACTAAAGCCGACACTAACCGGGGATTCAAGATATATGACATTCGCCACAG